GTCTGGCTAAAGCTGCTCCTCACGGGGTGCTGGTAAGCCTCGTCTCCGCCTCCGCTCTCTGCTCATCATCGGCCAAGGGGTCTAGTCGACCGATTTTAGCCGCACGTTTTGGTTTTGGGTTCACATAGTACTCTTTAGAGCCACCACCACCCTCGCCGCCGCCACCATCACCTTGCCGTTGATCTGTCGAGGCTAGAAACTCATGATGGGATCGACTTGGCTTTGATTCATGACGGACGGTGCACTCAGTTTGTTTAATCGTCAGATGTGGCGTTCTTGAAACTTTCGGGGCTGCCGTCCGGGCCACGGCTGCTCACTCAGATCGAAAGCACCACCTCTGAAACGCTGGGATGCGCCTTAAACCAAAACGCGTTGTTATGCACGTTCTTAATGAAATCTCAGTTCTCTCTCGGCTAAATCCACGAACTATTGCTGAAGGCGAACAAGTGCAAGTACTGTGAGAACTGTCTGCATGATTCGCGCACACTTCTTCCTCGGATATACCTAGCAGTGAAGACGTTGGTGCAGTTTGCGAGGGGAAACCCCCAGAAGCCTCCTGATTGGTGGGAGGTTGACCGTTCACTATCAAACTCTCCTCATTTCTGACGTGCCCAATTTGGTCTATCGATTAGAATTGTGCCAATTCTTGGCGGAAATGATTCGCATTTACCGTGAAGCCCTCATGCGTCTACTCTAGCTTGTGACGTCCCTCCACTACCCGCACATGTCCCTCAAGTGTGTCATCGCATCCACGAGAAACTGTTCTTTGTAGCTAACGCACTCTCAGAACCACTCATGTCTACAGTTCGCCCTCGTAACAACCCTCTGCTTTCGTTCTCTGTCTAGTCGGCCAAGACGTCGCGGCCTGTCGTGGCAGCACACGCCTCCTCCTGCCTCACTGACCTCCTGGGTGCCACGAAACCCTCTAACCTCCTTCTCGCCAATCCCCCTTCCCCTGGCCCTGAACACATCTCCAGGGGTGGAGCTGTTCGCGGTCAGCTGATGCGGCGGCACCCTCTGAAGCAGCAACTTCCAGCTGGCAATTCAGGTAGGCTCCACTAGGTGGCCTGGCCCTCAGTTATCCACCTGCTTCGTCTCCATCCTGCTCTCTGCGCACTGCTTGAATTGAGCCCGTTGTGGAAGTTGATATGAAGGAGGCTGTATTACCGATGCATCCACTGCCGAATCTTGATGTTGGCTTGCCTTAGCTCGTCTCTAGCCTCTCCAGTTGATTACTAACCCTGGGTTGCTTTCCGGTGATCGTCATCTTGTAGAGCTATGCAGTCCGGTGCCCGGTCTTTGGGTGGAACTAACCAAGCGTCTTCTCCACACCGGTGGGGACACGCGTGCAGACGCTCACGTCTTCGGTCTGGCCCTGGAGGACGCTCTGCTGCCTCATGGAATGCGACTTCCGCAGACGAGCGTCTGCGCCCCTGGCTCGCACTCCGCTCCCCCCTCCTTCGTCGGTCCGCCCACGGGTCTCGGACTCGAGCGGACATTGGCGCTCCTTCGGTGCTTCTTGCAGGACTCGACCACCACCACGCCCTCGACCAACGAGAGGATTCTGTGGGGTCTGCTGGAACTGTTGCTGCTGCCGCCGCCGCCGCCGCCACAAAAGGACAGTGAGTTGGGGCACGGCTTTCGCGCGGTATTCTGTCGGCTGGTTTATGGGCTCAACATTTTGCTTTACCCTTGATTCAGACAACACACGGGGCGAGAATAAGGCCTCCAAAACTGCCATCATTCCCGCGATGCGTCTGGTGTTGGGATTGTTGGCGGGTCTGGAGGTGTCGTGGGCGTCGCCACTGGCACCTCGCGTGCCCCTAACCCCCATTCAAGCCGATGCCGCCGTTCAAGCAGAGCTAGGCGTCTTCCCCCTGGTCGGCCTCCCCACGGTGGCCCGACAACGTGCGCGAAAAGTGAGTCGCCTCTCTTTCTCAAATGGCGCGCTCGTTCCTGATTGGCTACCTTTAGAAGGTGGGCGCGTTGGTTGCAAGCATTGTTTGTCTCGAACCGCGTACTTGGCAGCGGTTCAGCCTACTAGTCTCCACTAACTAAGCTTGCTGGCCACTCGCCTTGATAATCTTGTGTTTTTTTAACTATGAAACTCGCGTATGATTAACGCAGCCTTCTGCGTTTTAGCTGGCCGTAGAGTACGGCCACAGACGAGTGGACACACAAAGTCGCCTCTACCAGGTGACCGAGTTTCTCGTCACCCGACTTGCTCACCTCGTGTCGGTGTCCAGAACGGAGGGGGAGGGGGAGGAGTTTGCAGCACCGCTGGAGTGTCTGTTGTGCCGCCAGACGCCGCGTGAAACAGCCATTTGCCTGTCCGACATTCGCCGCAACCTCCGCCTCCGGGCCTTTGTGGATGTGCGCGGCGAGGCGTGCGCCGTCCCCGCACCCGCCGCCGGCGTCGTCTTCTTCACCCCCGGCCTGCTCATGGCCCTCGCTCAGTCCCACATCGTGGAGCCCGGCGTGGCCGAGGTCTTTCGACGCCTCCTGCACCAGCTCGCGCCGATGTCGCCGCAGAAGCGAATCACCGCGGTCTTCGAAGCCGACGACGACGTCGTCCTTGAGGACGACACCGACCACGACAGAGACGACGGCGGCGGTGGCGACGACGACGACGAGCCGATGCTAACTGAGGAGGGATTGCGTCAGGTCAACGTCGACGGCGAAATCATGGTGGTCATCGAGAACTGAGGAGCCCCTACCTCCCCCGTGTTAATAAATCATATCACATCTTAAGCGGGGTTTTTTGTGGTATTTCGGTGGTTGGTGATTCACCTGGAGCACTGGGGGACCGCAAAACTGTTCGCATTGCCCAAAAACTTGTTTTTTTGAGTTCGTGGACGAACTGGTTTATGCTATTCAACCACTTAGGTGCAATTCTGCTTAAGGTTTTCAGCTTTTGCGCAAATCTCTGAACCACTTTTGGTTGATGGTTGCCAAGCAACAAACCAAAACGTTTAATTAAACGTAGTCTTTTTTCGAAATGAATGGCGTTTGTAGGTGATCCGCCAAATGTGGAGTCGGTGCAGTCGAGTGCTAACGACACCGCTGTCTGGTAGTCGCGGTGAACGCAAACCGACGTCAATCGCTTAACTGGCGGAAGACAACTGCGGTTGTAAAGTTGTGCGGGATTGTGCAACGCCAAATTGGCATGAAGCACTCTAAGAAGGCCCATTGTAGGCAAAAGTGGCCGGCGATTCGTGAAACCAGGGTAGCCGTTTTAGGAATGCGCCATTTCTTAAAGATAAAGTGTACAATGCTGCGTAAGACCCAGCTGAGACCAAACCTATCACTCTCGTTCTGCTTTCTGAATATAGATGAATGTGGCACCCTTCGAACTTCTTGAGGTAAAGCTAAAAGTCGTTGAAGAATGCTCGTCCCAACTGACTCCAGCATTGTGTTAGGGTTGATTGAATGATCTATAAACAGAAAATCAATAAAATTTCCCGCATGGACCAACAAGTTGTTGAACCACTCTGAAGATAATCATGCGTTTCCTTGGGATAACTTAGCAACTGGTCTCTGGATGTGGTCGCGAAGGTGTGACAACTCTGCGGCCTGACGCAGATGTCCGTAAATGTCCGACATCTCAGTAATGTCGATGCTTGTCCGAAAATGACGCTATTCATTGCAACAACGTCTAACAAATGGCAGATTAAACGTATTAAACTCAAAATTGTATGGGTTTTAACGATCAAACAATTGCATCCCGATTCAGTGAGTTTAAGATTAGTCAATTAAACAAATTCCAGTTGTTCTAGAACAAAATGCATCGTGTAACTGGAAAAGGACAAATTAAATTTGCAAATTGCGACCAAAAATGCTGCTGCCAACATTTAAGTCGTCTCCATTCAATTCCAACAAATCTTCAAAACCCTAAGGAGTTACCTTTCGCGGAATCTCATTTGTGAGGATCGAGGCAAATCAATTGCGTTGTGTTATTGGTCAAAAGTGATTACCTGTAGGAACATTATAAATCGATTCGAACAGTGCCTAATCGCCACATCATCGTACATGCATCGTCCATTTTGTAAAACAATAACTGCAATGGGCATCCTTTAAAATTACCATGTTCTTCTTCTTTGCTGTAGGGCAAGTAGGAGCCTTAGAATTTAACACAAATTTTGTACTAGCGACAACTGCATTGCATCGAGTCTGATCAAAAGAACATTTTTGTTATGGAGGATGCACAGATGGCGAGTGTGGGAACGACAAATGAAAAGCGCTACTTTCAAACAAAAAATCCCCCAAACTCCGAGGTAAGTTTTCGCAGGAAAGCTGATTGAATGCACACCCCGGTTTGACGCTGCGTTCGATTCGTCCGCCGTCCAATGAGCCGCGGGCAATTGGCCACACGCTGATTGGGCAATTGCGATGCAGAAAAGAAATGTTCTTCTGCCAACGCTCAACTGCAGTGCGCGGATTCGTCAGACGTGTGTCCGCAGTGACGGTGGCTTGGCTTAATCTTGCGGTTTCGTTGTGAATTGCGTCTTTTCAATTTGCATTGTTCCTGGTACGTTGGCTGCCACATCGACTTTCCCATTTTCACCGTTTATTCATGTCAATTTCCACACATAATGCTGTTTCAATGCGATGGTAAGCCCCAATAATTGTTGGTTAATTTCTTCGTTTTTTGCAAAAATTCACATTTTACTTTGGGTTTTTCATTTGTGTGCGTTAACTGCATTCAGACAACGCGATCAAATGCCAATCGAATGGCTTTTCGGGGCAGATTCTCCAATAACCGACAAAAGGCCATAGCCGCTTCCTCTACTGAATCACCATGGTAAGCCAATTCCCCCTTAATCTTCTTGCAGCGATTACCACATTTTAGTAAGCAAGATTCAGCGTTTAAATACGCGGACAGACAACCCAGCAATCTAATTGGCTTAGTGCTTTAAAACAGCCTCGTTATTGACGATAGTAACTAACTCACCATTAACCAAACGAGGTAGTTCGAGTGTCTGATTATCTAATTCTGCTAAACAATTGGTTATTTGGCTTGTGGCAAGCACCAACCAACCAACCAGAGAGCGTGTGTGTGTGTGTGCGTTGCTGATGTCTTTTAGCTCAACTCCGAATGGTCGGAATTAGAGTTGATCTGCCTTCAGAGCGACCTCAACAACGGCCTTGGTTTCGGTCTCCTGGGCAACAAGACCACGGGGGTGCTGGTGAGGAACATTGTTCCCGGTGGGAACGCCGATTCGGTGAGTCCACGTCTTCCCCTCCCTCAACGCCTGAAATGATCGCGAAATCTGCTTGTCTAACAAATTCTGTGACGGTGGTGGTGACAGCGAAGATGAGGCTCGCCCCATTTCAGTTTAGCGCTTAGGAGAAAATTTTACTTCCTGGCTTTCAATTTTAATTTCTTGTGGTTTAAAAAGTGGATCATTAGACAGTTGGACATTCATTTAAACAAGATCGATTCGATTGGGCGTGCTCACACGTGCGACCGGGCGTGTGCAATAAGAGTTTGTTCAGTCAATTTACCAAAGAAAATTTGTTCAGATTAGCAGTTCTGACGGAAGAGAAAGTTGAAATTTGCAAACGCTTCACTTCGTTTTAATAACTCTAACCGGGCCCACGCATGCTTTTTCACATAGCCTTCGTCCTGATTGGTTGAAATGGCGAAGCAGAAAATCGCGCGGGGTTTAAACAGTTCAATCATCAGTTAATTTCATCTTCCGGTACCAAAATAAATGACATCGGATGCAAACACTACTTGCCTGTTAATTTTTTAATTGCTAATGTCGACAAACGCACCTTGGTCGATGTTTTTGGAAAACAAATTGCAGCTAATAATTGTTAACTATAGAAAATGTAGCACTGGAATAGTTACCTAATCCTAAACGGCAAACGATAATTACTAATTCATGGTTGACAGCAAAACAGATTTAAGAAAGGTCCAATTGACTTCGTGGAAATCAGCGTTTTCGGGGTTGGAACACAAAATCAAATGGTGTTCAGTGAGAGAACGAGTAAATTAAAGGAAGCTGGTCTGTTGTAAAAAGATGTCAATGTTTCACGATGAGACGCACGATTTGAGAGACAGGTAATGTAGCCTGTGATGCCTTTAGAAGCCATAGATTTGATAGATTAAGCGATTCGATTCACCACATCAATCAAGTGACCAATCAGGTGAAACGACTAGACCCAGCTCACACACCGAAAACTCCTGATAGGTTGGAAACCTTCGACCGGGAGACCTAATCATGCGTGTCGGAGACGTTTCGACGCGGGGCATGGGTCCAGACCAGGTGGCGCGTCTGCTTCGCCAGGCCATGATGACGAGTTTTGCGCACGCCGCCAGCACATCCGGAGAGACGATGGTGTCGCATCCAGCCTCTGTGTCCTCCTTTTCTACTTCCCACTCAACCAGCTCCATTTCCGCAGCTTCAACCTCAGTGTCCGGAGGTCTTCCAGTGAGGCTGGTGGTCTCCAGACCTGCTCAAGGTCGTCCGGCCGCTCTTGCCGAGGTCTACGAGGAACAGAATCGACAAATCAGCCAGCGACAACCCCTCGGTCCGTTGTGGTATGTTCACGCTCTGCATGATCCATGTGGTATGTGCAATGCTGGTTCTTCAAAAAGGGCAACTTGTGTGAAAACGCTAGATCTGTTCCCAACGTGATGCTGATGATGGTGCCAGGCAAACCATCATATCCCAGGGATGATTAGCAGATGCACGCAATGCTACACCAATTAACCCCTCAAACAGTGATGTTAACTTATTTTCCAATATTATGCAAGATTCCTGTGTGTTCTCTCTACTAAAAACCTTTTGAGTGGAAATGACATCTTATCCATTTCTATTTGCCTAGCATTGTGCCGACAGAAGCGCTAGACGAACCGCTCGACCACCTAACGGATCTCATGCTTCCACAGGCCCCACCAACGACTACGCAGGCTGAAGTTAACACGCGGCCACGAGTTCCTTCTACGGCGACCGATACTGCCTCCGAGGTACCCAATTCTGTCACCAAGACCACTGACGTACACGAATCATCTTCTAGTCAAGAGGTTGGTGAACGTAAACGCAGAGAGCATCAGCAGTTAAAACCTCAGCTCATTTCGATGCATCTAATGCCAGATTTTTCTTATCAGATGCAGTCGGAGCTAATTCAACCACCCTCTTTACCTCCTAATGATGATGATGATAATCTCAGTTTTGGTACGCTCCTAAATGTCGCTAATAACCATGTTTCCGATATATGGTGACTAAAATTGAGCTTTTTTGTTGTATTTAGATACGACGCAGGCAATCACCCCCTCCACATCGATTACTTCACCAATTGTCAGCGTGGACGAACAAAGCCAACCGAATGAGGCCCTGGAGAGTTGTGTGGAGTTTTCTGTGCTCTTAAGGAAACCCCCGGGTGGACAGAACGTCGGTCTGGGACTGATCATTGTCGGATACGTGTCGGGTGATCCCGATCACCACCCAGTGAAAGACAGATGTAGGTGTCATGTCAGGGCATCAGCAGTTCAATGAGTGACCCCTCTCCTAGTTCTATCACATTGTTCTTCTTCTTCTTCCTTCTCGTAATTCCTAGCTGTGACGGGGATCTTCGTGAAAGACATTCTTCCCAATGGACTAGCCAGTGCCTCGGGAAAAATCAAACCGCACGATCAAATTATAAAGGTATGCAGTTAAATGCATGGCCTGAATTCATCACTGTTACAAGGATTTTGTTGTGGGCCCCAGCATGGTTCTTGAACCACGCCGGGGCCACGGAATAAACCCTAGCTCGATTACGATTTCCTGACACTCACAATGAAGAAAAAGACGAAAGAGGACGTGGACACAACCGTTTACTTCAGAACTCAACCCCGTTATTGTCGTTGTGTCGTGTATAGGGTTTGCGCGTGCGTAATTACACCTCGGATGTGTGAGTCATACATGCGCTAACATCGAGACCTATGGGTGGGGATGCTCCAAGGTAAATATTCGTGCTAATGAAGGGAGAGTTGAGGATTTGCGCGGCTGGCGACATGCTGCGACAAGGGTAACCCTGTGTCGGAGGTGGAGCGACCGGATTAAGGGGTTGAATAAACACGATTCACAACATTTCCATGGAGTTTGTGGGTGACCTTAACCGAACCAAATTATTCTCTGACCCTACACAAAATCATCGATTAGACAAGAATGACACCGCAAAATAGCAACACTCATTGCCTTCTATGGTTCTCCCACATTGATGATTGTATTCAGGTTAACGGCGTCGATTTGAAGACTCTCTCGAACAAGGCAGCCGCCAATTTACTCAAACACTCGGGTCCTGTCGTCCATCTCACCTTCCTCCGCCACACTTCCGGTCAGGTCTGTGAGCAACTCAAACAACTAGGTAGGCTACTCTGCCACCTCAAAATGCTCTCCAATTGAGAGGTTTGAAGGCCTGACATTTGCGTCTATGCTTTCAGTTTCTCCTCCGACAAGACCTTCGAGGACGTGTCGTGCGTTGGCGACCCTTCCGTTTGGACTTTGTCGAAGACCTCAAAAGAGGCGTTCTCGGCGGAATTGCGAAACAACTGCGCATCCCACGTACTCAGCGAATAGTTTAAAACCCCTTGCCATATACATTCCCAGCAATCACCAAAAGCCGTTCGGTGTCTGTCCGGCACAAAGTGAGATCCTCGTTGCACCGGAGCTAAATTCGGAGGAGTCAGACGACTCCATCTGCCGAGTTCCCAGGGAAACTGCACCAGTAGCCGGGTCGTGGACGTGCCAGAGCCTCCCAGTGCTGTATGCAAACTTGAGGGAACCGTCTCCGTCGCCTACATCCTGCGAAACCGAGGCAATTTTACAGTCTTCGACTCCGTCTGTGTTCCAAGGCGAACAGACAACATCATCCACGGCTGCCTCACTTACCTTAAACAGTTCTCCACTGGAGGAAACAGATGAGACCGAAGAGTCGACGGCTGACACTTCCTCGATGCATTCGCGATTAAACTGGACAATTGGAATGATCGAATCAGTTTACTTAAGAGCTGCAGTGCATTTCGGTAAGTAAGAATTTACATAGTATTTAATTTGATAATGTAAAAATCCAGTTAAAAAATGAACTTTAGTTCTGCCTGCACTACTATTAACACAAGTTATTTTTTATGATCGGGAATATTAAAAACATTGCAAATTTTAGAAATAAAAAACAGGTAAGATAGTACTAAATTCCATCTGGTGTTGTGAATATGGGCTTAATGAAAAACAGATTGTAAATAACATTCAAAACTCAACATAATAACAAAAATCGCCATGCGTGAAATGCGTAAAGTTAGAAATGTATGCGGTGCCTCAGGGTCGTTTTTATTTTGGCTTTCAATTGCGTTAACGGGAATTAAAATTTGAACGTAATATCAGATTAATGGTTTCCTAAATTAACATCGCTACCTGTTTATAAAAGTGCCATTTTAATTGTTGCCTTTTTTATGAAATAAAGTGGAAGAATGGAAAGAAACTAATGATAGAAAACCAAACTCCTTTTTTTAATTAATTTTTTTTAAATAACTAGAGCAGGATACAGTTAAAACTCATTCACAAAATACATTCTACTTAAAAACTGAAGGTTCCTATTTATGTTGGGTAAATTGATTATAGCTTATTAGTGTATTCTGCAAACGTTTTTTGTTTTAGAAAAGTACCACAGCAAAAGGCAGTCAATAAGATTTAAAAAAACAAGTTATCAAAGAACTAATTTAAGGTTCTAAGAAAACGACTTCTAAAATGTATAAACGAAGGTCACTAGTGAAGTTTAGCTAATCGCGAAACATTTTGGCGTTGTTTTTTTCTAAATCGGTGCTTACTAATACAAAGAATTTAACTAAATTATGAACGAATGTGCTGGAATATTATTTTACAAAAATTAACTTGACTTGTTTGAATAGACTAAAAATCGACCAATCTGTGAACTTTCAGTCAGTATCCAATCGCTCTGCACTCGGACCTGTTGAAGTTGTTCTTATGCTTTTCCCATTGGCTTGAATAAGTAGACATTTTTGATTGCAATCAAGGTTCCGTTTAGCCACAAAATGGTAATGAAAAAGTCCTTACGACACTATGTCACAAGCATTATAAGTTTCGCTAATTCGCGAAGTAGAAATAAGTTCCGCGACCGTTCTTTCGAATTCTTTGGTAAGTACCCAATTTACTTGATGATTGCGCATTCCAAATTTTTGATTGTATTAAGCTTTGTATGAATTTGCATGTTTTATAGTTAGTCGAATCCTATGTTAGTGCATTTCTATCTAAACATTGCCTCCTTCTTCGAGTTCATGTGAAATATCAGTAGTGTTTGTTTGTGTCAACGTTTTTCGTGTCCATATTTTTCACCATAAATGTGTCTTAGCTACCTATGTTTTGGTTTTGATGACTGCTTACGCGACGTTAGTTAATTAATGTCGTCACGCAAGACTTACACTTTATCAATGTAGCAGTCATTCATGTTTCTCTTTCATAAAACTGAATTAGGTGTAGCAGAGCGTAAACAGTAGAAAATTTGAGCCTCTGGCATAATTTACCGTTTATTTTTTGACTTCATAGTGCCCATTCGTTCTGTATATGGAACGGTTATCTTAAATTTCGTCCTACAGAATGTTGCATGCTCAACTCTCTCTATTTTGATCACCATGTAACTAGGACTTTCTGTCTTTCTTAGTGGCCTTTAGTTTACATTGCAATTATCCAGATCCTCATATGATTGGACATGTAGTTGGAAGTGACAGGCATCCGTTTTCGTTGATGTATCTCAGCACATAAATCTATATGCTGTGTTTTCGTGTTAGATACTAGTGGATAAAACCAATTTGTTATGCTTCAATGTACATTGTGCTAATGGTCATGTTGGATTATTATGGACTATATTCCTTTACTGCAAATGGTGTTCATTTTCCAGATAATCGCGGAATTTCACTTGTCGGTGGGCGATATATTCTCACACTAGCATAATTCTGAGTCGAAATTCGCCACTTCACAATCAACGCAGGGTGTTGTCGAAGAATTTTGGCTTTTGAGATTCAGAAGACCCGGCCTTTTCCTCTCATTTTTGCTGAACGTAATATAGCAAGACACAAACGTAGCTTTCTCTATTGTGTTCATGTGTATTCTTCTAAAAGTAGATGCTTCTTTTTATTTTCTTGGCTAATTCATACTCAAAAGCCCCAAAGTTGTTGTTGAGGTGTGACACACATGTTTTGTTGTTCTCCCTTCTTCAGAACAGCGCCCAAAATACGATCGTAGGGTTTGGCGACGCAAAAATGTTTCCTCGCGTCAATTCTAAATCCTTTCAAAATGTCCTGCAATTAGGGGTCGAAAATGTGCTCTGATACACTTGTAGATAGTCTAATGTATTCCATTCTTAATGAGTAATTTGTATTTGCCAATGTTAGACATCCTCTCTGTGTGCTAAGTGAAGTAGCCTTTATTCCTTACAACAATGTTAAATCCCCACCGAAGTGCGCAGTTTGAACAAATTGAGTGTTGAAATATGTGCCCGTGGTCACCTAATTAATGCATTTTTTTAAGATGAATTCTGTGTGTCCTAGTCACTTGATCAAGTGTCCGCTGCTTATCCATTGGCTTGTTAAAAGCTACAATTCCTCCCGTCCGATAGCCACGTGAATTCAAGCATTTACGGTCACACGAGGCAGGCACGATGGCTCTTGTTGAACCCGCGTCTCGCGTGCACGACCACCTTCACGTGGTGCATGGCTACAGCGGCATTTGCAGCGCCCTGTGTGCTCACCATGACCCCATTTTAATTGGCATGCGGGCTTCCCTGCTTTCATGCCAGACCTCGCATTCATGCTGGCTTCACTGTGTAGACTAGTGCCTAAGCACCAGCCGCTTCGTGCCATTACTGCTTGACAGCTTGTGGCAGGAGGAGATCACTCTTGAAGTCACATTCGCGTAGATTAAATGAGGTGTGTGTGTGTGTGTGAGTGTGTGATTCCATCCGTCTCCGTGTTTTGACGTATCTGCACGCGTGCGCGCGCACACACACATCTGTGTGTTTGTGTGTTCTCATCGTTAACTCTGTTGTGTGTTTATGTTTGTCACTCTCATCGTGGGGCAGTGCATAGCACATTGTCTATTGTGTGCTGAAAGTACCTCCGGTACCAATGGACGCGTTTTATTGATTTATTGGCATTTCAAATAAACGTATTCATTGTTCGTCTTGCGGATCCCAGGTCATTACCACGCATTACCTGAGCCTAGTTCGGAGTGCAACAAATGTTCCCGTCACGTTAGTGTGCTCGCTGACGCAATCACGAATAAAATTTACATATTAATTCCTGCTTCGTAATGCCTGTAATGCAATCATGTCGAACATGGTGTTTCTGTTGCCGAAACGAATCTGTCATTCCTGGGGGTAAAAATGCTTCGACCTTCACCAAATACCGGTTCCATCTGGTGTTGCCATGACTTCGATGCGGTAAATGATTGGTGCCAGGCAACGTTTTCGCATTGTTCACGACACAATTGGACTGCCTGGTGTTCGCTCATGTAATAGTTTAAGCTGGATAGTGATTCAGTAACTCATTTTGGCACAATCCTGAGTATCACATTAGACACTGTTACAGAACTGAAATTCTCCATGAGTCTACTCATGGTCTTTGAAGTAGTGTGTAAGTAGCGGCGAGGTGCGCATAGGGTTCAGTTCGTGGGCAGGATTTGTCAGGTCAATGTTTCCGCTCTTGCGGACTGTTAAGTTGCCCGTAACAAACCGCCCGGCCGTTCTATTCGTCGGACAGTGAACACACTCGGCGTGCCCTTCGTCTGCGAAACAGTGCTGGTGACATTTAGCACAGCGCTGGGCGGTGTGGCTCGGTATTCTAGCATGCCGCCGCATTTCCTTCGTTCAACCCCTTGCCCTGGACCCGCTCGCACACCTGCGTCCATTCCATTTCTCCGCTTCTGGTGGTTCTGCACACGCACACAGTCTAGCTCTACGCCGAACTATTTATGTGCTAGCCAGCCGTGGACTCCGGTTTACGTTGGGCCTTTTTTTCACTCGCATTTTCACCAACTACCGCCCCTCCGCATTCCAAACAAATTTGTCGCAGAAGTCTGTCAACCACGGGAAGGCATTCACGCACAGGCACCACCACCATCATCATCATCCCACCACGCCGGCTTTGTTCGTCACGGCTTTGGTTTTGTCCCCGAGCGTGGTTTCCGCGCGAAGCCTGTTTCTGCGTGTCGGCGGTCATCGTCAGGGTACCCTGCTCATAGCAACGCACATCACGTAGGCGGGTTGTCTGCGCCACAGCTCACCAGACGCGCGTGTTATGCTCAACCGCGGTGTTTACACGTGCAAGCCTTGTCGAGTTGGTGCTGTGGCAGGTGTTTTAATGGTTCGCTTTCACTTCTCGCTAACGCGCCAGCGATAATTTTGCCGTGCTGTTTGTGCTGTTAACTGTAACCCTGGTCATTGCTTAATTTATCATGCCAATAACCTCCGCTGAACCGAGAGCGTACTTGGCCTCCACACATGATCACGTCCTATGAACCTAATCGAGTTTGTACTAATGCGGTGCACTGCCTGCGCGCAATGGATCACATGGGTTGTTCTGCCAGGCGACTCGGCTGCCACATCGAGCTCACCCGCCCGTTGATCTCGCGTGTCGATTGTCCAGCGACTCGGCTGTTTGTGCTTTTGGCGTTCTGTCAACACCGACCACTCGTAGCCGAGGCGGCGGCAGCTGAAGTGCCACTTAACCCGTCACTTCTCTAATGTCCCACCCAATACGCGAAGCGAGTGCGATCTGTCGTGTGGCTATTGGCGGTTTCTGGTGTCTCCTGTAGCCACGTGTGCTGCAGGCTTTTTGTGTCTCCCGTTAACGGCCGTCACTTTATCGATTTTTATCCTAGCTGGTCGGGCACCGCCGGAGCTGATCAAGCTGATGGTGGATGTGTGGACTCCAATCGTTGGACCTAACAAAGAAATCATGGTAAGGTTTGCCTTTGAAATGACACAACCGCTAATTGTACCACTGCCACTACCACCACCACTCACCCATACCATTTCCACTTTCATGGCCCCCTCTCTTATACAACCTCCTCCACCACCTCCGCCTTCCCCACACCACCTCCAACTTCTCCACTACCACCACCACCTCCTTCCTCTTCGATTCCTTTCCCTAATCCACTTTTTTCTATACCACCTCCTCTTTCACCGTGCCCTCTCCCATACAACCTCCTCCACCACCTCATTCACACTATCTTCTTCACTTTCTTCACACTGCCTCCTTTACCTCTCCTACATCACCACCTCCTCCATACCACCTCTCCTTCACATCCCTCACTTCATCTCCTCTTCTACCACTTCACTCACACCACCACCTCTCTCACACCACCGCCACCTCCACCTCCTCCACACTACCTCCTCCCTCACCTCCCCCACATCACCTCCTCCTACCACCACCACCACCACCTCTCTCACACCATCGCCGCCTCCACCTCCCCCAAATTACTAATCTTCCACCTTCCCCACACCACCACCCCTTCCCCCTCCTTCACTACTACCGCCACCACCACCACCTCCTCCTCCCTCTTCAATTCCCTTCCCTAAACCACTTTTTCCCCAGGTAATCCGGACAGTCCGACCGAAGAACATGCGGGTGCTTGGGATTTCGCTGCAGGGCTCGACTCTGCTGGATGCCTCGGAGTCCACACCAGACAAGCTGTCAGAAGCGGCTGCGGAGGACGACGCCACCGCCACCGCCTCGCCCTCGCGTCACTTCGTCCACTCCGTCCTCCCCAACAGCCTCTTCGGCCAACTCGGTTGTCTTCAGCGCGGCGACGAGATCCTCCAGGTACGGCCGCGAGCCATGCACCGCCTTCCGACTCTCCATCCAACACACGCATTTCGCCACGAATTCGACACGCGTTGGCGTTGTTATTGCAGCGTGTGTCGTGTCACTCACGCTGCGAGCGGTCATTGTTCGCAGCACCAACGTGTTACGTGGGTCGTAGCTGCGATCAGTTGATCGCGATCAGGATCACTTGGCAAACTCCATGCTACTTTTTCATCCTTCCTAATCGCTGTGGTTCGAAGTAAATTGTTTATGTGGAGGCATGATGCGCGTGTGTGTGTGTGCTTGTGCGCATTCTCGGATATCTGCAGGTGTGGTGCGTGCCTTGCCTATCAGCGACACCGCGCTGCCGTCTGTGCCATTCACCCTGCCTGCTTAGGCTCCATTCCAGTCTATTTGTTTATCCTTTGTCTGTCAACTACTTATTACGGAAATAAGTAGACATGAAATTGACATGTTGTGGCCCGATTGCAGGTTAATGGCTACCGCCTACACGGCTACTCGCACGTCGAGGCTGTGCGTTGTCTGCGATGCCTTCCCTCGCACATTGAACTAGTGATTGCACGCTCACTGGACGCCGGCCACGACGAAGGTCAGTATTTCATGGAAGACGTCGACGGAAACACGACGCTCCAGGTGGCGGCCAGCGAGATCGGCTCGACGTTGACCGGATTGGAGGACGGCGCCGGAGGTTCCACGCGAAAGGACTCCGGCGATTGGCTCGGGGTGTCGCCTGTCGCCCTCCCCAACCAGCCACCGGACCTGCGCGTCTCCGAGTGGATCCACAGATCCCACTCGGACATCACTTCCACCAAGATGATGCTGAACGGGTCCGCCGACTTGGTCAGTCGTCTGGCCACTCCACTTGATGCCGTGTCTTCCGTAATTTCAGTAGCATGTCTCTGTTTGCGTCTAGCACGAAGCACCCACCTCGCCTCCGACCTCGTCGATGTCGCTCTCCGCTGTTAGCAAAGCCGACGACAGTCTTCTAAGCCTCGACAACACGCGCATGTCCACACTGCTTCGAAGCATGAAGGTTCAGCGAAACCGTCTAGATCCCTCTGGTGCCACTTCCATGCTTCTGCCGGGATCAGACCTCAAACCCACCTGGTCCAAGGTTCCGCTCATCGTGATGCTGCGCAGAGACACGAAAGGCTTCGGATTCTCGCTCTCCGAATTCGACGTACGTGCTCTGCGTCCAGACATTTTATTCCTTCTATTCAAACCTTTTCAGTAGCGATAATTTCTGATCTATTTTTTTAGGATTTTGCGGTTTCCACGACCACAGTCCGTACTAGTTCATTGAGGCGTCGAGCTTCTACGCTCACTCGTCGTCGCACAGTCGCCGGCGACATGAACCTGACACCTGACCGTGTGTCCACGCTTCCACGAAGCGCCACCGCCGCGGGCGGCACGTTGTCGCGGCCCCGTCGAAGTGTCCTCCTGATCGATCTGATCCAACCGGGCGGGTGTGTGGACCGCGACGGGCGACTGGCGGTCGGCGACAGACTCCTCTTCGTCAACGACCGCAAGCTCTCGAAGGCCAGTCTCGGGGAGGCTGCCACGGTGCTGCAAAACGTGCCCCTCGGCTACACGATGATTGGCGTCGCCAAAATGAAACTCGTCCACGCCACCCCACAGCCACCTGTTGAGTCGCTCTCCTCGCCGCAGTTTGCGGCTCTGGTGTCGAGCGATGACAAGTCACTGCCATTGCAAGTGAGTAGTCAGCCGCTTGCTATTTTTAGTAGCCAATTGCCTCTCTCGCTCCCTCTGATTCCGTTGATTTTCACTAATCCGTCTTTTTTTTACCTCCTTCTTCCCGCGCATGTTCGCATGTGATTTCTGTTGTTCTTGTCGATGATGATGATGATGGTGGTGGCTATGTTGTGCTATGTAGGCCGTCGGTCTGTTAATTAAATCTGTTCCCTGCATGGTGGCAGGCTGTACTGCCGTTCCCCCCTCAAACCCACCTCGTCCCCTCTACTATCGATCCGCGGTGATCACTCGCGGCAAGCATCTCTGGGGTGACGAGGGCTCGCCACTTTCCCCCTCTGTAGACCGCGTAGCCAATCAGCTTGTCGAAGAAGTCCTAACTTTGGCCACACTGGCCCATTCCGAGTCCCCAAGCACCAGCGAGTTCGCGTGGACGTACTCGAACACCTCGTCTACGGCTTCCTCCTTGGACAGTCTCGACGTGCTTCCGTTTGTCGATGACCTCCTCGCCTCAGCACTCCAAATCCTCTTGGAGACAGAAATCGATTCACGCGCCGAGTGTCTTAAACACCTTCCACTCCCTCCGCGGAGTTCAACGCTCCCCGTTGCACCAGGGGTCCGCTTGTTGGCCTCAATTTGCGACACCCCAGCCCCCATGGCAATCACGGAACCTCATGCTCTTGAAGAGCTTGACCAGGCTGGTGACGATGATGATGAGGTTGATAGTTTTGGGTCGTCGGAGAGCTCCACCGAAGAGTCTGATTTCAGCAAGTCCTCCGAGGACTGGTTGGCGGGCCTGGAGTTTGTTCGCGACACCGGAAGCGACACCGAGGCCCTCAGGTCCTGGTCCCAGGTGGGTGTGGGTGCGCGCGCCTCCCTCCTACTCGGACGTCGCCTGTTTTCCCCTTAGCTCATTTGGTTGTCTTCGTGGGTGCTTGCTCCTGCATCTCTTCTGATGGGTTGGTCTTAGCCGCTTTGTGAACGGTATTATCGCGCTGTCCTTGATCGGCATCCACCAACACAAGGCATTAGCGCGCGCGCGCGTGCGTGTAGGTGCATGACTTTGTCTCAGGTCAAGGCATCAGTTTTCGTGTTTCCGCAAAATAAACTATGTCACGTAAATAGACCATGTTTTCTCAATGGTTGTGCCATTTCACCCATCGGAAGCCACCACCTCGTTGTCGTGCCGCGTGCTCGGGCGATGTGGCGACGCGTCTGCGGGGCGATCTGTGCACTGCGTGGATGCTGCGCCAAAACGCCCACGATCGTCATAGTGGTGAGTTGCAGTCGGCGCCACTTCCCTCCGTCAGTGTGAGTGGGCGACGCGGAGGTGTTAATCTGCTGTAGTCTCCTATGCGGATAAAGTCCTCCTCGCTTAACTCCCTGCTTAGTCACTCCCTTCCTTTGCAAATCGTCCGCCGTTTGCTTGTCCACGTCCTGTGTTGCGTGGGGTCCATTTTCTGTCGGCCGACGCCCTCCAAGCCGTTCCGACCGTGGAAGTGTGCCAGGCAGTGGGTTATTCGTTGAATTGGAAATCACTGTTGGTCGTGGATCTTGTGAAACGTTTCCGTCAACTTGGCGAAATTGTGGCCGACAACACGGTTCCTGCAGAATTCACTTGTCAAAGACGCCCAACAGCAACAACGACAAAAGATCCAAATGCAAGCACACTGGGTTCGCAGATGCAATAAACGAATGCGCAACGATTCACCATGGAATGGCACGTGTTGTGGCATAACTTGCATGCATCACTGTGCTTGTAGCCGTGGCATGTCTCCATTTTACAATAACACAAAAAGACACCTCATTCCTCAGACTTACCGGACGTGTAGGTAGGCACCTGCTCGCCCTCTGCCTCCGTTTACTCCGGAGCCAAATCGTAGCCGTCGCCGCGACTCCAAGCTTGCGGTGTGTGTGTGTGTGTGAGTTTACAAGGCCGTGTCCGCGTTCACCCGTCATGCCTGGTTGACAATGCCGGCGCATCAGCTGACGGGTCTCGTGGTTTAAAGTACGCGGGCGCGTGCGCGCGTGTGTGTGCGTGCGTTGTGTGTGTGAGCGTGTTCATTCGTTCCTGGTGGGTATTAGGCGTGCGACGTGTTCGTCTTCTCTTGCATCGTGCTCGTGGTTCTCACGTCGGTAGGCTGTGGCGATGTTCTTTAAAAAGGCCGCGCTACTAGTCAAGGAGGCGCTGGTCGCGGTGCGTTCGCCTGGTAGCATGCTCCCCCACCCCCTACCCCTCACCCCCCACTCCTCCTCACCCCAAGGGGCTAGTTTTTCTTTGCTTGCCTTCTCTACCCCTGCCTCTCTTCATTTCAGGATGAATTCGCCAAGGAGTACGCTAAGGATCACGTAAGTTGTTGGGCCTTGGTTCCCGCGTGCGTCCATCGCAACTGCCTCGCTTTCTTTTTCTTCTCTTCTTCTTCTTCTTCTTCTTCTTCTTCTTCTTCAGCCTCTGGACTTCTACTCACCCCTGACGCTGCATCTGGATGACATGCCCTATCATGCCTCGACGCTGAAGGTTCCAGGAATTGACGTCAATGACGAGACAGTCGTCCGGGTGAAGACCAATGGCTTGCCTCTGGGTAAGTTCTTTCGCCTTGTTCACGCCTCATACTTCAATAAAGACCCTTCCCTTCAAACCCATTGTATGTCATTGCCCATTGCCTCCACCGACATGGTAGTCGAGCCATTGACCAATGACCGGGCAGCGTGTGTGGCGGCCGATTCAAATTTGCCTGGCGGACCTTGAAATTGCATAATTAGCACACTCAAAGTGGCAGTGAGCCAATAAGACCGTGCTCATCGTTTTCACCGACATGGTAGTAGGACTATTAGCCAATGGCCGGGCAGCGTGTGTGGCGGCCGATTCAAATTTGCCCGGCGGGACCTTGAAATCGCATAATTAGCACACGCGGTAGATACGAATATGCAGCATGCGAGTGTGACGCGTTTCTTCCCCTCTCCCTCCACCCTCCCACCCCCGCAGGCCTGGAGTTGGACGCTCTGGCGGCGGGCGGACAAGACGGTTGTCGCGTCGTCAAGGTCCTTCGTGGTGGCGCCGTTGAGAAGGCGGCAGCCCTCGTCCCCGGGGACTACATCACTCGCATCAACTCCGACACCCTCAGATGCGTCTCCAACGCCGAGGCCTTCCGCGTCCTGCGCAAAGTCTCCGTTGAATGCAGCACTATTGAGTAAGCGGACCCGCCATTCTGCTGGCCCTGTGTGTGTGATCTTTGTAGATATAGAAAAAAGTCAATAATTTATTGATTGCTTTCCGTCGTTAAGGTGTCAGTTTTGGCTGCACCTTGAGTAAGCGCAGCCATTTTCAGGAGGTCAATATGCCTAACATGTTTTCGCGCTTTTTTTTCTAGAATCGCCTATTACCCCGCCGAAAAAGTGCTCGATCACCGAGCCAAGCACATGAAAGTTGGATCCCTTGGCGTGGACAGTGCACCCGAGGCCTCCTTCAATGACGCCAGTGACTCCAAGGCCTCCACCTCGGCCATCGTTAGCCTGTAAGTTACTCGTGTCCGTATTCACTTCCAATCGATAATATCTTGACTAATCACGTTTTATTAGTAGTGTTAATAGTCGTGTCCTAAAGTGTTTATTTATGCGTAGATCGTCTTACTTTAGAAAGTCCGTGTACTAGCTTTTAAGTGGGTCATTGGGTCACAGACTTGTACTTAATGCTTAACTTGTTTAAAACGGTTCATCTGGCGTTTGGCATAATAATCTGTCACCACGTGATCCGCCCAACTCATGGATTTTTGATTTGTCAACATGCAGGATCGAGGACCTGCCACCGCCAGAATTGATCCTCACTACAACGCCCTTGTTGCTGGAAGCACCCTCCGCCGGAGCTTGCTGGACGCAGACCCGTGAAATCAAACTGCTCAAACTTCCTCACGAAGCCACCTGGGGCATCTTCATTACAGGTTGGTTGCTCACACAGTCGTCCACCAATCTGTTTGCCAAACGGGATTCCCCTATCCAATCAGCTCTTTGCACTGCTGACCAATTGCCATCGACATTTAAGTAGCCAATTAACCCCCTGTATGCAATTCGCAGCCAATCAGGTGGTTTAACCTCATCCCCGTATCTAATGTGCCTTTTACGCAGGGTAAAACTTTTTCCATCCATTGACCCAGTTTCTAACTCCTGTAGTCGACGCCTAAAGCAAACTTTTCCATTGTTCTGTTAACCCTGGGATGAGTTGGCCATAAATGTAGTGAGAAGGCGTTCCCCCCATGCTCTGTTCGCCCCCAGGTCCCGATATGTGGGGAAACAACGAGGATGAGGCAAAGTTGCCACCTCTGCCGCCGGAGGTTTCTCAGCCCGTTTTCATCTCGAAGATCGGCGACGACACGGCTGCCTCGCGTTGCGGTCTGCTGGAATCCGGAGATATTGTCATCGGCGTAAGTGCACCCGCTCTCTCCACCGTCACCACGCCTCTGGTCTTTGATCCGCGTTCTTTTCTTTTTGCTGTGAAATCCAGGTAAATGGGATGGATGCGACACGCGTGGGTTCGCGCACCGTCGCCGAGTGGCTCCAGACGGCAAACTTCGTTTCAACCTCAGCCTCCTCCTCCTCCGCTTCCGATAACGAAAGTCCACAAACAGCCGAGTGGGCCTTCCTCTACCTCCTGGTGCTCTCCTTTCGCTCCGGAACGTCGTCATCATCACCGTCATCTGGTAGGCGGGCGGTTGACCTTCAGTCGATCCCTCCGGTCGCCCTCTTCGGTGACATGACGTCGTCCGGTGGTGTAAGTTGGGCTTGCCTCTCCCTCTTCTTCCACCTCGTCACTCTTCTCCAGTCTCTCACGTCGTCGTTGTTGGCTTTTTCTAGGACTTCGACTGCAAATCGCGTCCCGTCAGCTTCCTCGGCCACCCTGGCACCTTGGTGAGGTCGGCGTTCATCTCCTCCAACGAGTCGAGCTCCATGGAGGAGCCAACCTCTGTGGTGAGTGCGTCGTCTTTGCTAGCACACACGCCATCTTTGTTGTCAGAGCTTGACAGCTTCCTTTTTCGCCCGTGTGTGTGTGTGTGTTAGGCGTCCTTGGAGCAACACGGCGACATACCAGAACCCCTGGCCCTCTCCGACCTCGCCATCACTCCCCCCAAGGGCCACGACATGCCCCCTCTGCCCGCGAATGGGACTCTCGACTCTTCTGATGGCGGGTTCGCCTCTCTGGCCTACCACCACCCTGTCGCTCCGCCCATCCCCTCTGTGCAGACGGTGGAGTCGCAGTCGGCGTGGCGCAACATCGGTTCCACCAAGCTCACTTCGTCCCTCGGTTCGTTGTGGTGATCGATCTTGTTCCCCCTCCCTCTCCCTAAATCCAACTTCGTCGTCCTTGTAGCCCAATTGACGGAGACGTATCGAAGACCGGCGTTGGTGGATGACGAGATCCACGTGGTGACCCTGTCGCTGGCTGCGGCACGCTGTGGCGGAAGTAGCACAGCTGACTGCGAAGCAACCCTAGGCATTCGATTGGTCGGCCACCGCGACACCAACTTGCGTGGGGTGTTTGTGTGTAGTCTGCGCGAGAAGTCCCTCGCCGATCAGACCCCGGGCCTCCAGGTCACCGACGAGATTGTCCAGGTACGCGAATCACGCTAATCGAGTCGCACTTTTCAGGTGAACAACGTCTGTGTGATGGGTCTGACCCACGTCTCAGCCAAGCTCCTCATCTCCAAGGAGGCGGAACTGGCGCGTCGGGGCACCGGAGGGGGTGGCGGTGAGGAGGAGGCGCAGATCCTCCTCGTCATCCGCCACAACGTCGTCTACAACTCGTCGGTGATGGCTAGGCCGGCCGCGGGCACCACGCCCACCGCCTGCAGCCACTTCCTGCACAACCCCACCTTCGCCGCCCTCCGTGCGTCGTCGTCGTCGTCGCCGTCCAACACCACTCGTGAGGTGTGTGTTTCCACTTTTGCACGTTCGACTAACCAACCACCACCACCTGGTTCATGAGCCATCATATTGC